CTAGCTAGCTAGCTAGATAGATAGATAGACAGAGATCCATTATCGCAAGATTATAGGTAACTTCACAGCTAACATGTAAAAAAGACAACTAGAACACATAACTAACATTAAGATAGATAGATAGATAGATAGATAGATAGATTTCATTCTCGCAAGGTCACATGATATTTAATATCATAAAAATCTATAACTATAACTAGAAGACATAATTAACAATTAGATAGATAGATAGATAGATAGATAGATAGATAGATAGATAGATAGATCCATTCTCGCAAGAACATAAGTAACTCCATAGCTAACATGTTAAAAAGACAACTAGAACACATGATTAACAATTAGATAGATAGATAGATAGATAGATAGATAGATAGATAGATAGATAGATAGATAGATAGATAGATAGATCCATTCTCGCAAGATCATAGGTAACTTCATAGCTAACATGTGAAAAAGACAACTAGGACATAATTAACAATTAGATAGATAGATAGATAGATAGATAGATAGATAGATAGATAGATAAATAGATAGATTTCATTCTCGCAAGATTACATGATATTTAATAGCATAGGACAAGGCATCTGGAGATGTCGATTGGCATTATATTTCAATAGTTGGAGATTATAGCTCTCAGGGAAACAAAAAAATAATAAGGGAATTCCACAGAGGAGAAGTGTGAGCTATTGGAGTAGAAGAGAAGGCTAGATTGACCCGTTTCGACAGTGAAAGCATCGGACTGAGATGCCAGCCTAGTTGCACGTTTAAATTTATGCGGTCTGGGAACTAGTGAAAGTAGCTCGTCGGGCAGATACCGTGAAAGAATTTGTAGAAAAGACCGAGGGAGGTGACATCATCTGTGAGAGATCTACTGTAGACGAGATACCAGATTAGGGTCAGTCAGAGTGCATATCCTCCTCTGGATTTTATCGAGGACCTTAAGGAGAACAGCCGGAGCTCCAGTGTCAGCAGTATTACATGCAAGGGCGAATAGTTGATTTATAGTTTTGAAGGATGGACTCGGGAGAGCAAAACTTTCTGGCGTGACACAGGGAACCAACTTTCCTTGCGGTCGGTGAAGCAATTGATTCAATGTAATTATTCCATCTCAGGTCAGTGTGAGACCAAGCACTCGCAAAGAATTGCTCTCGTGGAGTTGAGAATTAGACATTCAAAATGGGAGCCAAAGATGGTTCCCTTTGGTGATTAATCGAGAGCAGTTTTGTTTATAAGGCATTCAAATTAAGCAGCCAATTCCTGCCCCAGTCGACAACCGATTGGAGGTCATTTTCCAGATTAAACGAGAAGGTTTGTTTTGTGAACGGTCAGGTTTACTTGCTAAGAAGTTGAAAATTTCTATGCATGAGGATCAATATTTGTTACAAAGGCAGTTATAAACTGGTACCAATCTTGACAAAAAAATGATCTCTTGAACCTAAAGTGACAACTGCTGATGAAAATAATCACTTGATTAATGAGAGCAATAGAAATAGAATAAAAACAGCTGCAAAATTGACAGCTGAACTTTGTTACTTTCAACAGCAACCAGTTTCGCTCTCTACTGGAAAAAATCAACTTAGATCAGCGCATAGTCATCAAGAAGTCACTATTATGGAAGAGGAATAAATAGAGGCAAAAAAAACTGTTATTGGCAAAAAATGCATAAAAACTGGATACTGAAAGAATGGCAAACTCTACTGCAAACAGATGAGTCCAAATTTGAACTTTTTTGCTAGTAAGATAACAGTGTGTGCGAGAAAAAAGCCAGGATTATGTGGTTACAATAGTTAAGTATGATCTTGATTGCGTTTTCGTGGTGAGAAGACTTAAGATTTGATTCAGTTTAAGGGCATCATGGAAAATAAAATATCTTTCGAAAGGACATTTTTAAAGGACATGCTATACTCGAAAAGGACCTCCAATCGGTTGTGAACTGGGGCAGGAATTGGCTGGTCAACTTTAATGCCTCAAAAACAAAACGGTTCTCTATTAATCACCACAGAGATCCTTCCCTGCCCTCCATTAGAATGTCTGACGCTCAACGTCTCGAGAGCAACTCGCTGCAGCTGCTCGGTCTCACGCGACTGCTGACCTGAGATGGAACAAATACATTGAGTCAATTGGTTCATCCACCTCAAAGAAAGTTGTCTCCCTGTGCCACGCTAGGAAATTTTTCTCCCCAGAATCGATTCTCCAGATCTGCAAATCAACAATTCGCCCTTGCATGGAGTATTGCTGCCATATATGGTCTGGATCCTCTTCTGTTTGCCTCGGGGTTCTTGATAAGATCCAGAGGCGGATATGCAATATAATTGGCCCTGTTCTGGCATCTCGTTTATAGTCGCTCTCTCACAGACGAGCCGTCGCCTCTCTCTGTCTTTTTTACAAATAATTTCATGGCAATTGCTCCGAGGAGCTGCATTCGCTGGTTCCCAGATTTCATGAGTTCAAGTGCCCTACGAGGCTGGCATCCCGCTCTCACCCTTTTACTGTCGAAACTCCTAAATGTAACCGTCTCTTCTACTCCAATAGCTTCATGTATCGCACCTCTCGCCTGTGGAACTCCCTTCCCTATTCCACTTTCCCTGAGAGCTATAATCTCCAGCTATTCAAATGTAATGTCAATCGACATCTCCAGTTGCCTTGATCTATCCACTATCCTTCTCCTCACCCTTTCCTCTATCACTCCTATCTGATCTTGCTCCAAATATTCTGTAACCCCTTGCGTCCTCCTGGTTTTCCGCCTTGCTTGGGCTGAAACGCTTAAAAAAATATCATCTGACTTACGTATAATTCAATGCTTAATTAAATACGGTTATTGTACGTATGAAAGAAAATTTACGCAAAGTTTATCGTCACCAATACTATTTTTCAAAAATGTTTTAAAAGGGTCTGAAATGTTTCTAAGATGTTCAGGATGGACGTTTAAGGTATATGGCGTTTTAACAATCAAAATAGGTACTTAGAAGTACTTTTAGGGGAGGGGTCACAAGTATTCGCGGCCGATTCTGGTCCATAAGCCCCACAAATATGGGGGACTCACTGTAATTTTTTTCAAAAACTCTTAGAAAGAATGCCAAGAATTTGTAAGGCAGGTGGTGGTTTTGTTGATGAACCCAAAATATGATGCTGTTTTATGATAATATTTTATAGTTTTGTGTTTACTTTCGACCAAAGTAAAAGCAGATACATTGTAGTTACTGAAATGTTTGTCATCAAAAGTACAGAAATATCTCGTGTTTTTTTTTATGAAAAGTAATGCAATGTGACCCCAAAATTTTACAAGTAGTTTGTCTATCAATCTTTGTAGCTTCATAACTATGTCTGTCTGTCTATCTATCTATCTATTATTCTTACCTGCTTCAGTCTGTTTTATCTACCTCAAACTCTCTATCTAATTGTTAATTAGTTTTCTAGTTGCTTTTTCTCATCTTAATTATGAAACCAATAAAATTTCTACGTTTCTGATCTTCCATTTTGCTGCGTTATCTTTGTCTCCCTTCTCGCCATCAATATCGCTGATTCTCTCAAATCTCGCGAGAATCTCACCACCGTCGCTCAGCTGTCAATCATCTTTCTCTTGTGTCATTTCGCTCGGGAAATGAACGGAATATTAGGACCGTGACTGGCTGTGTGCTCGGGAAGCGGGGTCAACGCGAACCAGTCTCTCAGGCACCACTCCAGGTAACATTATTTACGGCTTTATATTGAGATACTCTTACATATTATCTGTATCGATTTTCAGAGCAGACTGTCTTGACGTTAACTCATTTTAAGTGACAGTCGCTGAAAGGATTGCGTAAGTTTATCTTTTTAATGCCGGGTTTTAAAAATCTTTATTTTCTATGTAGCTAGTAAATGTCTTGTGTCAATTTAAGTTATATCGTTTTTAGTCTGGAACATGGCCATTTAAAAAGGTTCCTTCCAATAATTATACAACGTTTTAAACTTCAGATTGTTTCCTCATTGAGTTCATGTATTTACAAAAAAAAATAGTCCTGGGTATGACGATAGATTACAACCGGCAGCAAAACCCCTAAATGGGAGATTGGTGATTTTGAGGAGCGTGGAAACACCTCTTAATTGTTGCTTTTCCCATGTCCACCCTGTCGCAGGTAAAGGCCTCAGCTATGGGCAAATATTGAACCACAAACAAAAATCAACAATACATTTTTATACAAAATAACAATGCAGCACTAAGATATATAAATCCATTTTTATAGAAAAATTATATTATGTACAAACTATATATCTAAAAAATATACCTAATTTATTTCACAAGGCTTGGGTCAAACCATGGTTGGGTTTTCAGGCACTTTCCGAAGGTGCCGGATGCTGGGATCGATCCTCCACTCCGATAACATTGGGAAGTCTCCTGACAAATCGATCATGGTGAGATTCGAACCAGGGCCTCATGGTCAGATTGCGAACGGTCGGCTACGTGCCAATGTAGGAGCACGCTTAAATTCATGTAGTCAGGGAAGGATTGGAAAAAAATCGTCAGATCAGTTGCCCTGAAAATATTTGTAGAAAAGGCAGAGGGAAGCCATATCACGTCGATGAGAACGTGATGGATGTCGAGATGCGAAGTCAGGATCTATTACATTGCAAATCCTTCTTTGGACTTTGTCAAGAACCTCGAGATGAATAGCAGGAGCAAAAGACCAGATATCGCAGCACTGTTGAATACACGGGTGGATGGTAGATTTGTAAATGTACAAGATGGACGCTGACAAATTCACGAGAATGCCCTGTAGTAATCAGTTCTTGTAGGCGATGATGAGAGCAGCATAGATGGTCTTGTGTTTTGTTTTTCTTTTTTGGCCTGGCGTTTGGAGAAGTTGGAAGAAGGCAGCATGCTTCTGTCTGCATGGAATGTTTTATTAGCGAATTAGGCGAGAAAAAACACCTTAAATAATAATGATAAAAAACGTCGACACATTTGTACAATTCTTAGTCTTCATTATTGAACATAAATATCTTCAAGTACGTCGATTTAGATGCAGGCCAATGTCGTAAATGAATCACTAAGTATACGTGCTTATATGTAACAATCTGTTCCTTTTTCGGAATCTAGAATCCTATCAATCAACGATCCAGCCGATTCTATCTATCTATCTATCTATCTATCTATCTATCTATCTATCTAAACAATTCAGACTTTTCATTATTGCTGTCTGTATTTTTATCTGTATGTCTCCGTTTCTTTCTTTTTTCTCTATCTATCTATCTATCTATCTATCTATCTATCTATCTATCTATCTGTTACTGTCTGCTCCTATTTATCTCCCTCGGTGTTCATATTTTTTGTTTCTTTCTCTCTATCTCTTTGTCTCTCTCTCTCCATATATATATATATATATATATATATATATATATATATATATATATATACGGTGATTTTCAAAGCAGAGCTTGTATGTGGCACAAGGCCGAAATTAGAATGAGAATCGAACTCACTACTCAGTCGTAATTGTTATAGCGGGACAAGCTTGCTGATCATTACACTACCTAGAGGGGGCCAAAATGATTTTCGAAGTTTAGCTTAGATGTGGCACATGGCTGAGTGTATGAGGCACAGAGTGAGGATCGAAATCAGTATTCATTCAACTGCTTTTTAGAGAGACAATCTTACTAACAATTACACCACACGGAGGTGCGTATATCTATATATATCTCTCTCTCTCTCTATCTATCTATCTATCTATCTATCTATATATATATATATATATATATATATATATATATATAAATGGTCTAAATACATACATATATATATATATATATACATGTATAAATCGTTTAAGTTTATATATATATATATACAACACAATAAAAAATTTAGACCATTTTGTTTGTCTCTATCTGTTATTTCTGTTTGACTTCCGGTAGAGTTTATAGTCTGCAATCGTCAAATAATAAACAGGCGTTGGATGAGTGAATGAAGGGGCATAGAGATAATTATTAGATATGCTGGTAGCAGTAGAGTGCAAAATATTTGATAGATATATTATATTTAGAAAATTGGAGCAGCATTCTCAAAGTTAGTTGGGGACCAACGTTGACATATGTATTTTTTCTATTTCATTATATCCCACCAAATTTAGGCTTTCAGAAGACACGAAGACACACACACACTCACAGACGCACACATAAAAACACACACGCACATATATAAATAAATAAATATAAATATATATTACGGTCTGAAAAATGAGGAGGAAGTTGGAGGGAGACCAAGGATAGGTAAAAACAAAGTTTGTGGAAGAGCAAGGAGTATAGACAAATGGGAAGAGATGCAATGATGAGCAAAAGCAAAGTAAGAGGAAGAACAAGGGTGAGCAAAATAAAAAGTGGGAGGAAGGACGAGTAGGAGCAAAATACAAAGTGGGAGAAAGAACAAAAACCATGGTAGGAGGAAGTGCAAGTATGAGCAAGAAACAAAGTGGGAGGAAGAGTAACGTTGAGAGAAACGCATAGTGGAAAGAAGAGCAAGGTTGAGCAAAATGCAAATTGGGAAGAAGAGCAAGGAAAAAGTTGGCGGAAGAGTAAAAAAACAAAATGGGAGGAAGAGAAAGGATGATCCAAACACCTCGCACTTCAGCGCATACGCTACAAACCTTATAGATATATACACGACGACTAAAAAAGAAGAAATAAAATCTGCTATTCATCTCGAGGTTCTTCGCATAATCCAATGAAGTAATTTTAATGCAATCGATACTGATTTGGCATCATGACTTCAGTCACTTTCTCACCGACATGACATGGCTTTCCTCTGTCTTTTCTACAAATATTTTCATGCCAAATGCTCTGATGAGCTTTTCTTTTCTTTTTTATCCTGATTGCATTAATTTAATCGTACTACGAGATTGGCATCTAGTTTCCATCCTTCTACTGTTGAAATAGCTGAATGCAACTGACATTTCTACCCCAACAGTTTGTTTTCTCACTCTTTCCACCTGTTGAACGTTTCTTTGCTTTCCTGATAGCTACAGTCATCAAACGTCAGTTGCCATCTTCGATTGGCTTGAATCCCGTTCATCTTTGATCTTTTCCTCAATCGTCCGTCTACTGAATTTTTTCTCTCACTTTCACTCGCTGTAACCCCTGCATACTAGTAGGATCCCCGCCTTACTTGGGTGAAATATTATATATATATATATATATATATATATATATATATATATATATATATATATATATATATTATGATCAAGGCCTTGTCTGTTTTGGTAGTTTCGTTAGCTCTCAGTATGAATTGTAAAGCCCCACTGGAGTTTTACATGCACATTTTCAAATACATTCACAGCTTTATGTTTGTACCATTTTCAGAACATTTGAATCGCAATTATTATTATTATTATAATTATTATTATTATTTTGATTATTATTATTATTATTATTAATAGTAATAGTATTAGTTTTAGTAATAATAGTAGCCGTAGTAATATTTCTTCAGATCTTCTTCTATGTGCCGTGTCACTTCAGATCTTGGTCGATCATGGCTCTCCACAGCTCTCTCTTTTGTAGCTCTTAGCGTTTGTCTTACTATATCCCTAATCCCTCTTCTGTCAAACATTTACACATTTATTAGGTTGCTTATGCACTGTTTTCCTCCTTCCCTCTTATTTGCAGTGTGCCCTTTGAGTGTTAAATTCTCTAAGCTTTCCTTCATCATTATCTGCTCCAGAAGTTTTAATGTCTCTTTGTGAGTCTAAGTAAATTCTTCTTTTTGTTTTCTGTATTCTTTGGATTTTTTCTTTGTAATGTCATTTCTCACATGTTCAGTCCATGCTATTCTCAGTATCTTCCTGTAGAACCAGATTTCTACTGCCTCAACTTTCTTCTACATCTGGGAGGAGAATTTCCAGCATTCACTGCCATATAGGAGGACCGATATTACATAACAGTTTAGTACTATTTTTCTTTATTTCTAAGGAACTTTCGATATTCTAATACACCTTATTATTTCCGTGTCAACTTTCCCAGATAAGATCTTAATATCTGGTAATTAAGACATGGATAACGGGTCAGAACCAGCAACTTTATGTACAAGACAAATTTCATTTGAATTATTCTTGCCGTTCCTAAGAGAATGGACCAATGATTACAATTTTTATTTTATCTTTCGCAATATGTCTGGCCAATGGTGATTTATTTTCGTATCTCTTTCTGTTTAAAGATTCCACAAAACCTTGCATGTTGACGACACATAACCCTTTTCAGTTTTATGATTGACCCGTTATTATTCTCTCTGAAAACCCTGATTCTCACACAAGTTCTAGTGAAAGATTTTGGCAACATTATCATGCCTCCATGTTTATTTTATTACTATATATTATTTTTCATTCAATCGAACTAGCTCAGATATTCATGAGTCCATAACACCAATCAACAGGGTCCTTCATCATGGTCAAAAGGTTATTAAGATGACATCATTTATTATTTCATAGTTGGTCTTGCGCCATGGCTAGGTGTCCAGAACAGTAGATCACTCACAAGTACTTGTTTTGCTCGCCAAAGGTGCCTTGCAAATCTATCTATCTATCTATCTATCTATCTATCTATCTATCTATTTTATTACTGCTCTCTCTATCTGTCTCTCTCTCTCTATTTATTTGTCTATCTATCATTCTCAGTCTGTTCTTTATTGCTCTCAATCTTTCTAACTCTTTCATTATCTATCTATCTATCTATCTATCTATCTATCTATCTATCTATCTATCTATCTATCTATCTGTTCATTATTTCTCTTTCTCTCTGTTTCTCTATGCGTTTTTCTCCCTCTATCTAGCTGTGTATCTATCAGTCTTAGTCTGTTCCCTATTGCTGCCCTGCTTTCTCGCTCTTTCCTTAACTATCTATCTATCTATCTATCTATCTATCTATCTATCTATCTATCTATCTGTTACTGTCTGCTCCAATTTATCTCCCTCAGTGTTCATATTCTTTGTTTCTTTCTATCTCTATCTCTGTATATATATATATATATATATATATATATATATATATATATATATATATATATATATATGGTGATTTTCAAAAGCATAGCTTGGATGTGTCACAAGACCGAAATTAGAGGACACCCAGTGAGAATCGAACTCACTACTCAGTCGTAATTGTTCTAGCAGGACAAGCTTGCTGATCATTACATCACCTAGAGGGGCCCAAAATGATTTTCTAAGTGTAGCTTAGATGTGGCACATGGACGAATGTATGGGGCGAAATCACTATTCATTCAACTGCTTTTATATATATATATATATATATATATATATATATATATATATATATATATATATATATATATATATATGTGTGTGTGTATATGAAGGTTCATACAGATAAGCGTTCATTATGACTGTAGAAATATCAGAAATTGGTCCATCGAATTGTGATTTATTTGGATGTTGTCTCCAAAAGATGCTGGATATAGTTCTCTGCATCTGAGTGTTGGTCCAATGAAGCTTACATTCAAATGTTTTTGTTAATGTCCACGCAGTGGTACTATACATTAATACCGCCTCTAAATTTGCACGAAAGGTCTGAGATTGTCTGATTAATCAGATTTCCAGATCATATTCATTTTATTCAGGGGTTCCCAGGCTTTATATATACAATTTTTTAAGTCTTTCATAACGACTTGAGAGTCTTGGTGATAAAGTAAAATCTAGAAGATGTTTATCACGTGACGTTTTGAATATATAGTCAAGGGAGATAACAAAGATGAAATGTGCGAGAGTGTCACTCTGAAGGACCCCCTGCTATAATGTCGAAGAAGTTAGTTTCTCCGCCTAGAGATCTAATCAAAGATATACTTTTATACACATTCTATTATTAGTAGTAATTAATTAATTATCAATTGCTAGGTAAGCTACTAATCATTTTTTCATTGTATCATACGTGACAGTTTTTTCTCTAGAATCTATCTTACATATTTATAAGACTACCATTCGTCCATGCTTTTATTATTGCTGACATACATTGTCCAGTGGTCCTACTATGTATTTCGAAATTCGTGATTAAATAGAAAGAAGAATATGTCTAACCTGGCATCTCAGCTTCAGCGATTTTCCCACTGCCATAACGTAGTTTCCCTCTATCATTTCTATAGATACTTTCATTGTAATTGTCCTGATGAACTTTCCGCTATGGTACCTAGACATTATGAATTCAAACGCGGTTCGAGACTGAAAATAAGGCCTCATCAATTTACAATTGAATTGGCTAAATGCAACAGTAAATTCTATGCTGTGTGACTTCTCTCGCCCTTCTCTCTTGTCGAACTCCCTTCCGGTTCCATGCTTTCCAGCTAACATCGATCTTTAAAAAAATTAAATATAATGTCAATCAGACGTCTTGATTATTCTTCTTTTATCGTTCCCGCTTATTAATATGTTTCTTTCTTTTTTCTTTTTTTTTTGTTCTTTCACAATCCTTCTGTCTTCATTTACTGCCTTTGCCGCCTTTCGTGTGTGGGTTATTAGAAAGCACATTTATAGAAGATCATAAAGAGAAGACGACGCAACTTAATGCTCCAATCCAATTTGAGCATTCTCTTTCAAATATATGGAGAGTAGTAACATGCTAACAGGCAATGTGGTTCAATAAATAATGAGGTGCGCTATACCTGTGCTACAAGTTGCTAACCACTGAGATTTCCAATTTCTTGAAGGTGGATCCGAATGTAACCTCAGGTAAGTATCGACGGCGCAGATGATCATTAAACAACATAAAGAAATAAGGAAGGACATAAACGGTTTGTTTAGAATGAGATAGAAAGATAGACGGATAGGTATGAATAGACTGAGATAGATAGATAGATAGATAAGTATGAACAAACTGAGATAGATCGATAGATAGACAGATAGATGGATATGAACAATGATTTTTAAGAGTTGCATAGCTGTGTCACCATACTGAAATTGTGGGTCACATAAAGTTGTTTTGTAAATTAAGCTTAGATGCGAAACAAAGTCGAAAGTATCTACCCATGGAGAATCGGTGACTGATATATATATATATATACATATATATATATATATATATATATATATATATATATATATATATATATATATATATATAGTAGCAGCATGTGGGGCGTTTCCCATGCTTGATTCAAAATCGTACGACTCATACAGCAATCGCTATCACTTGACTTAAAATATTTTTACCCTTCCTTGCATTTAAAGGAGTGCCCTTTGCCGTGTTGATATTGCTACATGCTTTACTTCTTGCCTATCTCACACTGCGAATTTTTCTAAGCTCTATACTAAACATTAAATCTGTTACAAAAAAACAACTAAACAAAATGAAGACAAAACGATCAGCTTTAAAAAAGGACTCGTAACTGGAAAAACCGAATGAAAAAAGAATGTTAACAACAAATACTTTTTCACACCCAACCCAGTTCTGCGGAATCAGAATCAACGTTGAGTTTAAGCAAGCGAATGAGCCAATTGGAGTAAAGTGCCATGCAGATTTAAATTTTTCCCACTTGTGACGAAGGCAGCTATCGATTATTTTTTGCGTGATAGCATGATAGTTAACATTCGTAACAGTCAGCTGTTGGCTCTCACGCTGGCCAATAGAATCTTCCTGCTTATTCGTGGCAGCCAACTATAGGTTCTCACTCTGGTCAGTACAAAATGTCCGCAAACTACATGAAAACTGCCGTAGAAGCATGAAAAAATCGATTATTTCCACTATCGATGGGAGTTGGGAAATGCAAAGTCGGTCTTGGCCTTTCCGCTAACTTGGAGCATGTGCATGTAAATTTTGGTGCAAATCCGTCGAAAATTGCGGCCGTGCATTCATTACACAAACACACACACACACACACACACCTGGCCTTTCATATATATATATATATATTATATATATATATATATATATATATATATATATATATATATATGAACAGGATGAGATAGATAGATAGATCGATATGAATATACTTCGATATGAACAGACACACACACTCACTCACACACACACGCACACACACACAAACACACACATATATATATATATATATATATATATATATATATATATATATAGAGAGAGAGAGAGAGAGAGCGAGGGGAGAGGGAGAGTGATAGATAGATAGATAGATAGATGAGAATAGACTGTGATAGATAGACAAAACAGACTGAGATAGATAGATAGATAGATAGATAGATAGATAGATAGATAGATAGATAATAAAACGATTTAGATAGCAAGAAAATGGCGAGAAGAAATTAAACATAATTAGAGAGAGAGAGAAGGCTAGATTGACAGAGTGAGAGAGTAAAACATTGAGCGAAAGAAACAGAGAATGACAGAGAAAGTGAAAGAACTAGAGAGAAAGAGAAAGTGAAAAGAAGAAGAGAGCGAGAGTGAGGAGCAAGGAGAGAAGGGAAGAGAGAAGGTGATGGAATATTTCTAGAGAATAAGGCTTGTACAGATCCCTTAATTGGGATATCGAGTCCTTTGGAACGCGAATTATACAGAGAAAGATGTTAAAGGAATGAAATAGAATCTCAGTAAGCGTTACTACTTTCGAATCTCTTTTAAACGAGAGAGAAAAAAAAACGTACTAGTTCCGTTTTTGTAAATTTTCTACTATTTCCATTTGTTTGTTTTTTTTTTAAAGATGGCCGATTGCCTCTCGCATTTATCGCTCGTTAAAGTAAAAGTTGTTTTCAACCGCGCGAGACTAACTCTGTCCACGATGGCAGCAACGTCTGACGTCTGAGTCTCCGTTCTGAAAAATCATCTTCCCCCAAGCGTCTTATTAGCAAGGCAGGGAAATGTTCCTCGGCGTGGTCTTACCTTGCGGCACCTTCATAAAATATTCCACTCAGACAATAGTCCACTGCGCCACTACATCCCTAAAATCGAATGCTTCGGGCGATTTTTTTTCTTTATTCAGTCGCTTTACATGTGCAATATTAATTGAAACTCTTCGAGAGTGCAGGACCGGCAGGATAGAAAATTTGCTTGTAGATTTGGTCGCCTCAGGGTGATGGAAGAAGAATGGACGTTCGTTCTACAGCAAAAGGTTTTTGTATTGGTGAGAGGGACGCGAGTTTTATTTTGTCGTTTATATCTGTTTTCAAACTGAATGTGGTTTTATTTCAGATTTAAATTTCTAACGTCTGTTAAAATTTCTCCATTGTAACATCATGGTGTCTAAGACTTTCTGGATATGTAGAGAAGCAAAAAAAAATCGTATTTCCACTGAAGAAACAGTGGGCATTTTGAAATTCCTTTTCAGCAGAAAATATGTTGAGTCATAAATAATTTCTATTTTTGTTTATCGACTATATTCTTAAGAAAAAATAAAGTTCAATTACATTGTATTCATTTACACCCGATCTATTTAATCCGACATTACCTTCGGATCAGGTTTGATCAATGAAAATACTGGACATCAGTAATCACCACTCCTAAAAGAATCTTTCTACACTTAGAGATGACAGCTCATTTTACATATACTATATTGATGTATTATCAAAACTTTGAACAAATCTTAAAACAGGAAATGCAATGCTTCCAAACTATTCTTTCATGGAATACAGAGGCTTACATTTCTTAATACTATCATATGAACCTTTGCTCTATCATCCTGTATCGTTAAATATACAGCTACCTATAAGAAATGAGCAAGACCGTATCACCAAAATACTCTGCTGTTGTCGAATGCTTCGTTAAGTTGTAAACAATGTTTGGCGCTGCTGCACAATGAACTAATGTCTGTCTCCAAAATTTCGGATCATGAGAGTGACCGGACCACTGGGTGTCGGATTATGGAGGATGGGCTATATATATTCACTATCATTTGCAGTCAGTTATTGCCACTTATGAAGCAGTTTTTCGTTACGTTTCTTGAGGCCTAGGCCGGATCAGAGATAAGACCCCTAAAAATGTCAGAAATCACCCCTAAAGTCACGCTTTCCTTACGTTTCTTGTAAATTGTTGCTATGAAAATCATCTCAACTGTCTCTTAAATCTGGTTTTAAATAGCGAAAGTTTGCCTGACCAGGCTTTTTGCATCTGTCCAAAAAGTTAATAATCGGCAGCTGCAACGATAGTCGAATATGCTGGGATGGGCAGACCAGAGCTACTAGTGTTAAGCATTCTTTGCTTGTGTTATACTTGACGAATACTGCTTTGATTTGTTGTGGAAGGGAATATTTTTCTTACTAACTCAATTAGCTTTTGTATCATAAATAATTTCCGTTTATATTTATCGAATTTGTTATCAAAAAATGAATTACAATGACATTATAGTGTGATGCCTTTCATCCAGCAGCCTTGGGACTAGGCCTGACCACAGAAAACACCTCTAGGCCGGACCACAGAAAACACCTCTAGGCCGGACCCCAGAAAACACCTTTAGGCTGGACCACAGAAAACACCTTTAAAATGACAGAAATCACCCCTAAAGGCAGGTTTTCGATACGTTTCTTTTGGAGTAGGCCGGATCACAGCAAACACCCCTAACACTGACAGAATTCCCCCAAAAAGGTAGGCCGGATCACAGCAAACACCCGTAAAACTGACAGAAATCAGCCCAAAAGGCAGGTTTTCGTTACGTTCAATTAAGACTAGGTCGGACTAAATAAAACACCACTAAAATGACAGAAATCACCCATAAAGGCAAGTTTTCGTTACATTTCTAGTAAAATTGAAGTTTTTGAGCCGAAGAATTTTTCGACTGTCTCTTGAATCTGGTTTTAACTAGCGAAAGTTTTGCCGATCAAAATGTTTTGCTTTGGTCGAAAAGTCTAACAAACAGTTGGTGCAAGAACAGCCGAGTATGAGCTAATCAGCCACAATTTGTTTATCAAATGTTGCTTATCTGTTACTATATATTAGGAGGCACGGTGGAGTAATACTATATTGCGGCTCAGATTGAGGAATCGGAGAGCCGAGTTTCAAATTCAGCGGATTTCGTCATATTCACTTTCTTTATGTTTGCTTACGCGCAAATACCCTTGGCTAAAACAAAATATAGATCCATCTCTTCTCTCATCTCCAGGTTATGAATAAATAACAGGAAAAACTGAGATATATTGCCTTGAGTGGCAACCGGTCTAGGAGAAAGAAAATTCTACATTCAAAACTGTAAGTGCCTCTCGCTATGCAGCGAAGGAAGGATCATTCGCACTGAATTAACGGTCCTGACTACGGTCAACCCCTTTTTAAGTTTAATCTTAAATAAGGATTAGCTTTATTTATCGTTTTTTATTTTTACTTTTTTATGTTATAATTTTCGAATATATATATATATATATATATATATATATATATATATATATACACCATATTGCGATGGATAAATTGTCGTCTAAATTACGCAATAATGAAAATAACACTGTCATCTCATTTAAAAAAAAACAACATATTTTCCAAAATTACACAAAAATACCTTTTTTGTAATCCTTTCACCCCTAGCAAGGCGGGAATTCAACTGGAGAGTCAAGGTTAGAGAAGGGACTGGGTATAGTCTTGTTTAAATTTTTGAAGATTGTAGTTATCAGGAAAGTAAGGAAACGGATAAGAGTTCCATAGAAGTGCAAGAAAATAAAATATTGGATTAGAAGTGGCGGTTACACTTAACTAATTCGACAGTAAAAGGGTGGGACCTAGGTGCCAATCTAGTATCACACTTAGACTCTCGTAGATCGGACACCAGGGAAAAAAAGCTCATCAAAGCAGTTGCCCTGAAAATATTTATAGAAAAGACAGAGGGAAGCCATGTCAGGTCCCTAAGAAAGTAATCGAAGTCGAGATGCCAGGTCAGGATCATTTATATTGCAGATCCTTCTTTGGATTTTTTCAAGGATCTAGAGATGTGTAACAGGAGCACGAGATCAGTTATGGCAATAATATTCAATGCACAGACGAATAGCAAGATGGACTCTGAGGAGGAAAACCTTCTGGCACGACACAGTGACACACATTTCTATGCAGTAGATGCAGCTATTGAATCGACTTCAAGTTTCAACTTCAAGTCAGATGATAACGTTGAAGGCGCAGTGTGTTGCTCTCCATACGTCTAGCATCAGCCACTCGGACATGAAAGTTTCTCTATGGTAGTTAAATGAGAGCAGGTTTGTTTTAGAGGTATTAATTTACGGGACAATTCCTGTCCCCGTTAACCACTGTTATCAGTTCTAACGGGTTTTCTATTGAGACAGTAGTCAATGGCAGTATCATCAGCATAAATGCCTACTTGGAAACTGATGATATCAGAAAAATCATTGATGACAAACAGAAACAGGACCAAGTCAGGTGGTCAGATGTAAGGAGTGATGTGGTTGCAGAAATTGTTTGACAGCATTGACTGGGTTTCCTGCTTGTGTACCATGGTACAGAATCCTGTTGGAAGACATAAGGCACCATACATTAAAACCGATTCTACAGAGCAGGCACTTTCTTCATTTAGGACAACATTACCCCCCACCCAAGTCCCTTGATGTAGGCCTCCGTGTTGAGACTGAAGCCCTGACCAAACAGATTCGTGAGTTCTTTTCTTATCAGAACGACTAGAGTGAGTTTACCGAGCTGCTGTGCCTTCGTAATCACCATTGGAATCATCGGACACTTTCCTCCACACTGTCCACATATTGACACCTAAACTCTCTGAAATGTTCCTATTTGAGCCTCCTTCGCTGCATAGTATGTATTTCGCGAGAGGCACTTACAGATTTGAATGTAGAGTTTTCCTTGTCCTAGACCGGTTGCCACTCAAGGCAATATAACTCAGTTTTTTTCCTGTTATTTATTCATAGCTGGAGATGGGAAAAGAGATGAATCAATCAAACACCCCTCGCTAGGGGAAACGCTGTTACATAAGCTGGAATGACCAATCAAATTACAAGTATATGAGAATTCAAAAAACTTGACAACGATCTTTGGTTATAATAATTATATCGGCGCGAATGGAAAGCAGTGCAACATGCAGTTTTTACACTTCAAATCGAATGAATTTGGTCCGGATGCTCCTTTTCTCACAGATTGGGTCCAACTGACCTTACTACACTGTGCAGTCGACAAAGTCACTAACAAGAAACATGCATGCGAGAAATGAAAAGCATAAAATGGCGACAATTTACCCATTGCACCCTGTAGAATCGGTTTTAATATATGGTGCCATTAAGTAAAACGCTACAGTCTAAGCTTTATAGATCATATACTCGGATGCCGAAAGCTATATTTAACATCTCTTGGAGACAACATCTAATTAAATCACAACTATATGGGTCGATCCCTGATATTTGTCCAATTTTACGCGAACGCAGAATGCGCTTTGCAGGACACTCCTGGTGAGAAAGCATAAACTTGCTA